AAAAAATCCCAAACCAAACCAACGACCAAAACTTTAAAAATAATTTTAAAATATAATCTTCAAAACTAAATTTAAAGCGAGACAAAGGAGGCGGGGGTGGGCAGCGCGGGGCAGTTCACCCCCATGCCCGTGCTCTCCCGCCGCCGCTCCGCGCCTCTGCGGCGGGTCCCGCTGCCGGCCGGCCCCTTATCAACGCGCCGCCGCCGCCGCTCGCGGGCCCCCGCCGGCCGCACGCGCCGCGCGCGCCGCGCCACGCGCGCCCGCCGCCGCCGCGCCCCCGCCCGCGCCCTCCCCCGCGCGCGCACCCGCCCCCGCGCGCGCCCGGCGCGTGGCGCCGCCGGCCGCCGGCCCCCCCCCACCTCCCCTCACACACACACACACGCACACACACACGCACCCCGCCGTCCGCGGACCTGCTGCAACCCTCCCCTCAAATCACCGCCCCTGCCCTGGCAGTTGTCAACATTTCATTTTAATTTAGTTTTTATTCTTACTCGGGGGTGGGGCCGCACTCTCGCCCCGCCTCCCCCGCACCTCGCGGCGGGCGCTCAGCAGCAGCAGCCGGGCCTGGCCGCGGCCCTCGGGGCGGTGGCGGCCCCGCGCCCTGTCCCTTCAGGTGTGGCACCAGCCCGGCCCCTCCCGCAGCGGTACCCTGCGGAAGGGCCGGCCCGGCAGCGCGGCTGTCCCAGGGCTTTCCCTGCGGAGCGCAGGGTGCCCGCACCTGGCTGCCGGCCCGTGCTGGCCTGACACGCCGGGGCTCTGCTTTGGTACATCCACCAAAAAGGTATAACAAAGAATTATCATAATGGCGTGGGTTCTCTTACCAACCCTGCTCTCCACAGACTGGCTTTTTGGGCTTCAATGGGAGTTTCATGGAGGAAAGAAGGGTATTTGTAGGAAGCTTTTGTAGCTTGGGGGTTGCAGCTCGGCTTCACTCTGCCATGCCAAGCAATCCTCCTTGGCTCTCCATCAAGCAAGCCTTTCTTCCAGCTCTGGTGGGAAGAGCACCAGGGTAAAGTGCATTCTGATAGCTGGGAGGACAAAGGAGCATCCTCTTGGTGTCCTAGGAATTTGTGGGAAGAAATAACTTGCATGATGTTTTGCTAAATAGGCAAGGTGGATGGAGGGGGAGATACATGAACCCACTGCCCTGGGGCTGTGTCCACTCTTGGCTTCAGTACACCTGCATGATGTGCTGTCCTCAGGGCTTTGCTCCCACCCAGCCTTAAAAAAAAAAAACCCTAAAAATTCAATGGTGTGTGGCAGTTCAGTTACAGGGCTTCACATTTTGGGGGGTGAACATAATCCAATGTCAGGAAAATGCTCCAAGCTGGTGTCTTTGGCACCAACTTGGTGGTGGGGATGTCATCACGTGGACAGGTGCCAGCAAGGCTTTGCAGCACGATTTGGATATCAAAGGGTCTGTATTCCCCTGGCTGCCCTGAACCACATTGCTGCTCAGGTGTACGTCAGCCAAAAATGGTAGTTCAAAGAGCTATCCTTGATGTGACATGAAGGGGGCTTTTTTTGTACTTGTGTGGGGTATTCAGGGAACAGCAAGGCTCCATTACATTGACAGAGAAATATTTTCCTTGGGGATTGGTTGCAACGGCAGTGGCTTGAAGGTGCCAGCCCCACTGCAGTGCCACAGGCAGCCGAGCTGAAATTCCTGACAGTAAGGATCCTGTGAGTGCTTTGATTTTCTGGTAGCCAAGCACACAGGAGCCTTAGCACCCAAATTCAGGAGCTCCTGGGACATTCTTGGCCCTGCTGTAGAGCTGGGGGCAAAGCAATGAGCAGCCCTACAGCTTCTCTGAAGGACTTGACCTGAGAGGAGCAGCTCATGGCATGCAGCGCAGGCGGAAGCATTTTTCCTTGTGGATTCCCAGCAGCCCTGGGGAGCTGCTTGTGCCTTGTAGGGAGTGCACAGGTTGCTTGCTCAGCTCAGGCCATGGCATGCACTTGTCTCCAGCATCTGCAAAACTGCCCTGGCTGGAGCAAGGGGCTTCCCTTGTGCTTGCTGTCAGATGTAGCTTAGTCAGTAGGAGCATTACTTCAAGTGGAGTAATACTGATGTTGTTTCATTACCTCGTCTCTAATTTCTGCTGAAAACCTTTCACACAGGAAAGGGGAAGCTGCTGCCCTTGAAACTTTTCAAGAGAAAGCCTTCTATATTGAAGTGCCACACTCAAGAGTAATAACTGGATTTTTATCATACAAAAATAGCTACAGGGAGTTTTTTTCATTAATAACGCACACCAGTAAACCCAGTCTCAAGGGAGAGCATGCAGCCTCCAGCCACAGAGATTCTACACTCAGCTGAGGGATGAGCTTGACTTGTCCAAATTGGCTTTAGGACCGCTGATGTTTCCAGCCAGATGTGGCCATTGGGTCTGGGCCTGAGTACAACATACAGCAAGTGCTTACACTTTCCTAGCAGTGCAGCTGGCTTCTCAACAGTCTGCAGGAAGGTTAGGTGGGGAAGTACATCTTGTACTCAGACAAATGCAATCTCCTTTGAAATCTCTTTATAAAGTTAATGACTATGTAAGGATCCAGTAGAACAAGACATCATTAAACACTGTCTGTGTTCACAATCAACTTCCTGATCATAATCTTGGGGAGAGAGAGCATCCAGCAATGTGCTACCCATCCCCAGAGACCGGGGAGAAGAAATTCTCCTCTCCTGGAGCAGGTAAGGCAAAAATGCATGGTAACTGCATGGTCGGTGTGGACACCTTGCAGCTCCGTGTGGCTTTAGCCAGTGTGCTGCAAGGTGGCCAAACAATGCTCAGGGAGAAGGGAAAAGGGCCTCTGGAAAGGGCCTGTACACTATACATTAGTTCTTGCACCTGCCAAAGGTGAGAGCAAAGCACTGCCCCTGGCTTGGCACATGTGTCAGCAGGAAGGCTGCAGGTGGGGTGCTAGGTCAGTCCTGGTGCCACCAATGCATTACAGCCAGCTGACATGACCTTTTTTGGGTATTTTACCAAAACTTTCAGGACTTAGTGGAAAGCAATGGAGGTCCAGTTGCAATAAAGCTTGAGAGGATGAATGCGAGAAATAAAGGGTGATGGGCAGTTAAGCAGCCCTGTTCTTGGTGAGCCTGTTTACCAGGCTGGGCTGTGCTCACACTGGTTTTGCCAGGAGCAGGGCTACATGGGGCAGGGCTTGCACCGTGTCTTCAGGTCTATCACCTGCACAGCTGGCTCCTGGGCAGTTATGGTTTGCAATTAGATAGCATGTGAAAAAGAAAAAGTAATTTAACTTGAGTAGGGCACTGTGCTTTAGAGCTATGAGTTCTTTCACTTTCAGTGGAGAAAGAAGTTCATTTGAGTTTATTCTTTGAAGGGAGCTCCCTGTTTTCAGCTTATACTCTTTAGTAATGTAATCTTTCTCTGGCTTGATGAACTATTTTTAATAACTCTTCTGACATTTTATTTGCTCACCTATAATAATTTCAAATTGCCTGGGAATCACTAGAGGATTTCTGAGATACACTTTGAAAATAATAATAAGTAAAGAAGTGCTTTGGAAATATGATGATTTCTCCCTGGTTTTGTGTCTTCCAAGGCAGCCTCCAGCCAGCCTTGTTCCCATTCACAGTGGAGTTGTATAGTGCATCTGAAGCTTGGCAAAGTCCAGCACCCTGCCCCCCCCCCCCCCCCCCCCCCCTTTCCTCCTCTCTTTCCTTTCTTGAAAAGAGATGGCCCCGGGTTTAAAAGTTGATTTTTAGCTTTGATTGTGTGTATGTGCTATATGAATGCTAAGCAGCCTTTACAATGCATCCTTGTGATGTGCCCGGGACGGCAGACACAGGCTGTGAGGTCTGCCTGGCCTCCCATCATCCCTATGGCTGCGGTGCGGTTTGATATGGACATGTTTTATTTACGAGCGAGCTTTAGGGTGAATCCAGCCGTGTTACGGGCAGTAGCTGAGGGACCAAATGGGCTGAGCCACTGACTCTTGTAAATCTGACACATTGGGAGCTGCTTTCTGCTGTGGAGGAGAGGCATTTTCCCCAATGATGCTGTGGGCTGGAAAGGGAGGAGGCTTCTGAGAGGTAGCAGGGATCTGGCACAGGTGTGTCCTGCCTGGATGATAGGTGTAGTTTTGGCTTCTGGGTGACATCTTCCTTCTTGCTTCCAGCCCATCCTTTCTAAGGAGCATGAGTAGCAGTGCTCCAAAGCCAAGGGGGAAGTTTCTCTTCCCTGCTGCATTGACAGAGTTCAAGCAGCTGAGGCTGGGGTGCTGCTATTCCATCACTGGTGGCTGCACTGATGGAGTGAGAGCCAGAAAAGTGGATGTCAAGGAAGCATCAGTATGAATTCAGTCTCTTCTTCTCCATTTGTTTTTAGTGTCCCAAGTTCACCCCACACATCAAATCCTCCACACATCAAATCCCCCACACATCAAATCCCCCAGCTCTTTCAGAACATCTCTCTGACAGAGTGGGCATTGTTTCCCTCCAGTTCAGAAGAGGGTTGGAGGTTTATGGCTTTGCAAAAAAATATGATCTGGCTTTGTTCCTTTTTTAAATCAACCCTTCCCTTCTGGATGAGATCGCACATCCCTCTGAGACCCATGCAGCTGGGGATAGGGTTTTTCATAACAGAACTCTGCAAGCTGCCACAAGGCTAGAAAGAGAGCATCTGTGCTCCCTGGGGTATTTTCAGACTCACTACCATCTTTCCATGCTCCAGCTGATAACCAGAGATAAGATAGGAAGCCACAGGCAGGAGCTGTGGTCACCTGTGGTTTTTGCACCGCTTTGGGAGTGATAAGTTGGGCTCTTGCAAAGGGAATCAATTGATGAAACCTGCCAGAGTGGGCAGGAGGCCAAGTCTTGCTGGAAAAGCCATGCTGCCATCCATGCTGGCTGTGAGGGTGGTTCCCTCACATGGCATGCCACCAGCCCTGCCTCTCTTCCCACCGGGATGAGGTTCAGGGGACACCCTGCTTCTCACCTCTCTGGGCAGAGAGGTAGGTGAGTGCCTGCTGAGGCAGGTGTGTGCCAACAACAGGGCACACAGAGGAAGTTTAATCCCACAGAAAGTGAAGTGTTGCACAGATTGCCTTGTTGATGGGCACAAGTGGGACGAGCACACAGAGTCCTCTGTTCTCCCTTCAGCAGTGCCCTTCCATCTACCAAATGTGCCTTCCTTAATCACAGCCCAACATCTTAATATCCCAGCTCTACTGATGTTCCTGCTTTCTTTTGGGTGAGGGAGTGACTTTTCTTTTGGCTTTTGTGAATGTTAGGCAGCAACTCCTTTTGCTCTTGTTATTTTTGTGATGTTAGAAATCCACAGATGCTGTGCCACAAACAGGAAACTTTCGAGGCATACCTGTATGGGATAGTGGGTAAAAGAGAGGAAAAAGAAACAGCAGAAAATCCCTCTACCCATGCCCAGCAGGCAGAGCAGTTAGTAGAGGGTGGGCACAAAGGCGGGCACCAAGCATTGCAGGTGGGAGAAGCATCAGAAGACATGTTCAAGCTACTCAGTGATTTTCAGCTAAAACAGAGGAAGGAGCTGTGTAAACACAGGTGTTGGAAGTTACAGACCTGCTTTCAGAACTCCGTGAGTCAGTGAAGGTACCAGTTTTCATGGCTAGAGACAAAAGGAGACAGGACATCTTTTGTGGGAAAACTAGCAGCCATTGCAAGGCGTGTAGATGACGATTTTGGGACCTCTCAGGTGCACATGAGGTGAGGTGCGAGGCTTCTGCAGGAACGGAGGAGAGTTTTATGGAACTGGGGAGGGAAATGCCCTTCAGAAAGTCCACGCCGATTATGTCTCCCTTCGGGAAAGGGTTGTGCTGGCCTATGGGGACCTCTAGTGTGAGACTTGGCTTCGCACAGGAGTCTGCGGTGGCAGGTGTTTAGGACTGGAGAAGGAAGTGGGATCCAGGGGGAAACGGAGACGGGGCTCCATGGTTTTCTCCTGTCCGCCACTGTGAAACAGGCTCTGGGTGCGCTCAGGAAAGGTGACACGCTGACTGTCGCTCGGGGCACACAGAGCTATGCTCATACTTTCTTGCAGCCCTTCCAGATTTAACCTGTAACCTCACTGGTGGGTCAGCTCTGTTATTTTTGTATCAGGGATCCTTCCCCTTGAAAATGCAGGTCACAACACCCCCGTCTGTCCTTTAGTACCAGAAGAAGTGATGGGTGCCCACAGTTCTGAATTTCAACACTATCCTAACTCTGACAGTGTTTTATTTTCCCCACCTGGTCTGTTCCCAGGGGTCCTGCTCCTGAACGTGGGTGGCTTGGCATCAGCTGCCTCACCAGCCTGTTGTCCTCTCCCCAGTACCCTCCTGCTCTGCTGTTGATCCATTGGTTTTCTTCAGATGGGCATCAGGGCAGGGACCTGTGAGCCATGGGGATACCTGTTTTTGGCACTGGCTGTGGCAGCTCTCACTGGTGTCTTGGGAGGCTGTAACCAAGATGATCTGTAGGAAAGCTTGCAAGAAAGCTGGTGATGTAGTCAGAAAATCATAATATGCTTTTCCCCGTGCTCATGGCTTTCTCTTCTCTTTGCTTTACAAAATGTATCTTCCTTCCTTTTTTCACTCCTCTCCTCCTACTTCTTCGTCATGTTCCTGTCACTGCAGTTACTGTTGTGGGATGGTTTCACTTTTTTACTCCCCTTGTTTGCCACCTGATGGGAGTGCAATTATTCACCTGTTCACCAGTCTGCTTCCAAAAGTAAGGATAATTAAGGCACTCAGTCATTCAGGCTCACTTTGGCCAGATCCATCTTGAGACTTCTTTGTGATTTACTTTTAAGAAATATGCATTCAGAAGACAGCTGGTTTTGAACACCAGAAATCACCTGAGTCTTCTGCAGCCGCAGGTGCATGGACTCTTCAGTGCTAGGAGAGGGGAAAGGAAGAGTCAAAATGTCCACGGACAGTGAGGGCCTCCTGAGCAGGGGGTTATATGTTCATATAAACAGTTTCCTGAATAAAATACTACCAAATGTGCTTTTTCCCTTTATCTGCAAATGCAAGTTCTAATAGAGGCTCAGCCAAAGGTTACTGCCATGTGGTGCTTTTACATGGGGAGAGAAGACTCTTACACAGATCTATTTGGGGGGAGGGGGTTAATCTCTGCTTTAAACAATAGGTTATTTTTTAAAATAATGTTTTCCTGAATATATTATTTATGTATATTATGGAAAAATGTTATTGAAAATGTTCGTTTATCAAAACTGCAATGCAGTGAAAGTCAAAATTGGGATATTTTGACACTGACTCTTGACTAAACAGTTTATTTTTAAGGAGCTTTGGTCCAAACTCCATGAAAGGTTTTCTGTATGCCTTTCTTTCTTTCCCAGCAGGCTTTGTGGGAGTTGACAGCAGCTGACTGAGAGCCTGTGCAGAAGATGACTGCCCCAAAGAGGACTTAATAATCAGGCAGGAGGAGGTGCATCAACACGTGGTGGGGACTCCACTTCCTGAGAGGCCCCACTGTGGCCATGCCTCCCTTTGGTGGAAACCCAGGCTTTATCAAGAGCTGGAGGGACCAACTGCCAGCTCTCTCTGGGGACAAGCTGCCATGGAACTGAGGTGTGGGATGAGGACCACCAAGTGCCAGCTGCTGGTGACCAGCCTCTGTGTCATGGTGAGCAGGCAGGTTTGGGGGGATCTCTGCAGAACCGAGGTGAGCTGTTGCCTTTTTCATCCCCACTCCAAGAGGGGATGGTTTTCCCACGTTCTGTTTTTGGTGGGTGGAGGGCAAGCACAGCCAACTGCCTGAGTTATCATTGCACCATGGGCGGTTATCGCTGGCTACCAGCATCCCCCCCTCCTCTGATAGACTTCTGGTTTCTCAAGGCTGTCATACCACTGCAGCTCTTTCACAACTCAGCAGCTTCCTCCAAGGAGAAAGAAAAGGTGGCTGCTGGCTGAATGTGTGGGAGCAAAAAAGATATTTGCTTCTGTCTCCTTGGAGCAAAAGAGAGATGATGGACCTGCTGCAGTCATGCTTACTGCTGGGAGGGTGGTCGACTGCAGGTGGGACCAGTGAGGATATGAAGCCATAAGGCTTTGGTGGAAGTGTGTATGAGAAAAATATGGATCAGCACTGCAAAGTGAAAGCAATTCTAGGGACTCTTTATCAGCTTTTGAAGAGGGGAGTTTCTGGACATCTGCCGTTAGAGCTGATGGGAAATGGTAGAAACTGGAGAACACTTCTTGTAGATGCTTTGACTTGTATGTTCTTGTTGCCTTTTCACTTCATCAAAACTTATCTGCATAAAAAGAATAATAATAACAACAGTAATAACAATAATATGTATTTAGTTCAAAGAGGGTTAGTAGCTTGTTTAAGAGTTATTGAAAGGTAATACCTTATTTTGGGCCACAAATAAAGTTTATCGTTTTTCCAGATTTCAACATTCCAAGACTGCAGTTCTCTCTTCCAAATAACAGAATATGCCACTTGGAGGAAATTAAAGGAGGATTGGTACTAAGCATGTTTAGAGGAGACATTAAGGCACAGCTGCTATGAATGGTTAGAATCACATTCTCGCTGTTGGGAGGATTTTAGACTGGCGTTTCTCAGAAATCTGTGCTAACTGGTGTTTCGCTTAATATTTTGCTGGGTGTGGGTCAAGATACGCAGTAATGCAGTCTGAATGATCAGAAAGTGCCACAAATTAGGCTAGACAAAACGCTATGGTTTGGATGGATTTAGTCTCTGAGACCGTAAGCCTCCAGCAAAAGCTATTAGAAAATGTCACACAGTGGGGATTATGTTGAGATCACATTGTCACATTTGACACAGGTATAGCTGCCTCATGTTTCCCTATTGTAAAGGCACAAAATGAGGAAGCCTTATCTTCAGAGCTAGGAGTAGCCTTGCATTTTGTATTTTCCAGGCTCATTGTGCTAGATTTGGAGTTCATTTCGCCGCTGGTGCCTTTGTTCCAGCTCTGCCACCAGTCATGCTGAAAGGAGCCCAGCCCTAGAGCCAGGTGCCATCAGAAATGTCCCTCTCTATCACCTGGAGAAGTATGGACATGCAAGTAGTTACTCCATACCTTAGGCATACTGGTGCTCTCAGGGGTGGGACAGAAACACACAACACCTTGAAGAGACAGAAACCAGCACACACAACTTAGAGTAGTACAGGACTCAGATCTTTGCACTCTGCCACAGGAAACAGAGCCAACAGCAGGCAATGAGACTGGCATTGCAAAGAGCAGAGCAGAGAACTTCACCCCTGCTCAAAACCCCTATCGAAGCTGGCAGCACTCACAGCCACACATGCACAGTCTGCAGAGTGAGGTGGCACTGCACAGGTGTGCTGCAAGAGCATCAGTCCTCCCAGTTTTCTTCATGTGATGGGAATTCAATCCATAGGCACTGGCCAAGAGACTGTGGGCTGAACAGTATCACATGCACTCGTTATGCAAGACAGAAAAACAGCTTTAGTATTTTTAAGTGTCTGGGGTTTGTACTTTTATGTGCATTTTGGGGTACATGTGGTGGTCTCTGGATGGTGAGGCTGGCTGCATTTGCATGGGGCTCAGAAGTATCCAGATACACCTCAAACCTTTGTGTGCAGCCAGCTGTTGCTTTGTAAATCCCTTCCTGAAATCCTTCTTTTCCAGCTGCTGGGACTCTCTATCGCCACGCTGAGCACAGTCACCCACTATGGGCTCCATTTCACCCTCATTAGCAATGTCTCCCTGGACAACAATGCCTACAAGGTCATCCACCACACAGGTATGTTGTGGTCACATCCCAGTGACACCTTTGGGGATACCAGGAGCTGCAAAATTCCTTAAAGCTATAGAAGAAAATTCAGGGACATCTCAAGAGAAGGAAGGGGAGGAAGGGTTTTGGAGGATGCATTAGGACTAACACAGTCCTACAGTCACTTTCTTTCTCCATATCAGACCTGCATGTCTGTAACCAGAGTTACTTGGTGTGCTCAGGTGCTTCTGTGTTTGCACCTCTATTCTCTGACCCCTGTGCTGTGGTAAGAGCTCAGGAGGAGCTCTTCAGTCACTAAAAGTGCGCTGGGGCTGGAAGAAGACTGGAAGAACAAGGAGAGGAACTACAGGAGTTGAGGCAGAACATAGAAAATTGAGGCTGGGAGGAGAAATGCATGGCAGCACCTCAAGCTTTTCTGAGGAAATGTGCGGTATTTTTGCTTTCACAAGGGAGAAGTATAATCTGAGTCTCAGGTACAAGGCTAGAGCAAAGATAGCCCAGGTAGTAAATGCCCTGTTCACCACTGCTGCACTTGCATCTGCTGCTTCTCCTGAACTGCACTCTGGGCTTAAACACACTCTTATCATCTCAAGATCCAGTTCTCAATTTCAATTTAACAGGACAGGTGTAAAAACTATGTTAGTCCAAGGCTAAGGTATATTCCTTCCCTTTTCCTACATATATATATTGGCACTGACTACAGCCTTGCAGGCTCTCCCACCCCAGCCACCCATCTACAGCAACACTTCCACTTGCCTTGTTTACAGGCACTACCTCTGTGTGGTTAGGCTAGCAAAGCCCTTTGCAGCACTGTGGTCCCTGAGCCCTGCTGCAGGGTACTGGCTGTGATCCTGCCTGAGCCAGGAGGAAACCAGAGGGTGAGTGTTGCACCAGATTAGCCCAGAGTCCTGATAGAGGCTGTGGGACAGCTGCTGCACACCAGCACCCCCCATTTGGGGGGATCCTTATCAGAATGCTGAAGTAATTGGCAGCTTCTGGTCTGTTGGGTAGACCAGCATCATTTTAGGCTGCTTCACTCTGCTGGAGCTCTGAGAACCACTCAGAGGCTTACAGCCTTCCAGACACACACAGCAAAGCACACACAGATGAGGGGTATTGAATAAATTACAGAAAAATTTCAGTTCTGCAACCTGGCCATTTGGGGCCAGCTCCCCAAAATGCACTTTTTGGCCCCTCTCTGGCTGAAGCATCAGACTAGGCCTCTGGCATCTGACCGTAACTCCCACGACTGTCTTCCTTCCAGCTTTCTACTTTGGGATCTGCCTGAGCATGACCCTGATCCTGGCAGCCCTGCTGAGCTCCGCCGCCATGGTGCGGGAATCGCAGTGTCTCACTGCCATGGTGCGTATCCATACCTGCAGGGACTGGCTGGGAGTGGCTTTTTGTCACCTGGGGCTGGCCCCCTTAATGTGCAGTGCTGGGGTCTGCGTTGCCTCATGCCCAGGAGAATGCATGCCTGGGGAAGGAGGTTCTGTTGTTCCACCTTGTGCTTCAAGGAGACAGTTTTTAAAAACCATCACCTTGCAGAGCTCTTTGGGCTGAGGCTTGCATCATTCTGTGCCTAGTTTCTTTTGCCAAGGTCCTGTGTATGCAGCTTTCAGAGGGAAGGTGTTTATCTGCCAAGCAACTATGGTAATGACAATTCCCAGGGTATTTTTTTTTCTCCTCATCAAGTCAACACTTGGTTTGTGTGAGGAAACTTTAGCAGTGGGATTTTGGGTCTCACATGCTTCCCCCAAATTGTGATAGCAAAATTAGCCCCTCTTTTTCTCACCTCACAGCAAACATTCATACAAAGCATGGCAGTAGGCATGGGGGATTTTTGCAGGACCCTGAATTTCAGCCTACAAGGAGAGGGTGGAAAAGTAGCATAAGAGTTGAAATTTCCCCTTTCTCCTCTCCATCAGCCTCTTTGGGCCTGGACCATATTGACAGTGGCAAACTGCCCTGTGAGATAAGCTCCATTTCAAAACAGAGCCTGCACAGAGCAGCTTCCAGCCTTGGAGCTGGAGGGACGAGTGGTAAAGTGCTGCTCACTGTGTGTTTTCCCATATGAAGGGCAGGAGTTAACAGGTAGGTTGTTGAGCATGAAATCTTGCTTAACATAAAATAATTGCATTGCTGTCATATACTAACTTTAAAGAGATTTATCTAATCTGTGTAATTGGGGGAAATGATACTGTTGGCAGAAATGAGAAGCTGACACCTGAAAATTCAGTGCAAAGCAGCCACTGAAATTAATGTTTTCACCTTCTCAATACATCATCTTCCTTTCTTTGTTTGAGATGCCCAAAGGGGCCTCAGTTGCCATGAATTAAGCAAAATGTGTAACTCTTCTCTTTTGCTGAAGTGTCTTTAATGTGTGCCTGCAATTACCACATCTAAACCAACAGATGGGTATGTACAGATCAGTGGAGAATGTCATGGCTGCCTGAAGATAGTCAAACTTCTTTATAATGGTTATTTGTTGCCTTACTCTCTGGTATAGTTTGGAGCATGCCACTCCATAGAGCAGGCTGTTAAAGAGGAAGCACCAACACGTACTGAGTGAACTCCAGAGTTGCTGTCCAAAGAGCATGGCCCGAGGGCCACACGGTGCTGCTCTCCCTTCCCATTTTAAACATGGATAATCCTTTCCTCCAGCCACCCATTATCTCCTGCAGCCCGGCTGGTTTGGGGTATCACAGCCAAGAGTTGCCCGCCAAAGCAACCTCTGGCTGGCAGAACCCTCAAACTGGGTATTTATTTTTGTGGCTCCTAGTTGGCTTGTCTTTAGCTTCCACAGTTTGAGCCCTCTGGGGGATGTAGCCGGCTGCATTTTGGGACCCTGACGGCACGTTTGTAGGGAAGTATCGCTGCCTCGCGAGGAGCAGAGGAAAGCTGCGAGGTGCCTTCCCCGCAGCTGTGGCGACGTGGCTTCATGCCACGCTGCTCTCAGCAAGGACGCGGGGATGGCTCAGGCTCGGTTTCCGCCTCTCCGTGCGGAGCGGCGCGGCAGCAGGCGGGAGGGCCGCTGGCAGCCGCGCGGGGCCGCTGCCGCGCCGCGCTCCGCCGCCGGCCGGGGCCGCGGGCCCGCCGCAGCCTGCCCGCGCCGGGGCACGCCGCGGGGCGGGAGCGCCTCCGGCACTGCTGCGCGTCCCCGGCCCTCGGGGGTTAACGGGAACCTGGGCACACTCAAGAGCTGGTCACTAGCAAGGGTATTCTCGGCTCCAAGTGTTGAAGGAGCTCATCGGCGTCTTAAATCACACAGGGGTACTTCGCCTATTACAAATCGCCCCCTCCCCTCCCAGCCGTATTTTCCACCAAGGGCCAGCTCGCTGCTTGTGTTGCCCCCAGTTCCCACTCCAAAGGCACACATTTAATCTTTGATCTGCCTCTAAGATGCGAGGGCAGGGAGAGCCAGCCCTGACGCCCGCAGTGAGGTGCAATCGCAGGCAGGTTTGGCTCTGTGGGGCTCCAAAACTGGTGAGTGTGTTGTCTATCCCTGCTGATCCCTGCTGTGCTGTAGCTCGCAGGAGCTATCAGCCTTGCTGCTTGGAGCTTTTTTCCTCCTGCAAGAGAGAGACTCTTTCATTTTCCCCCACTATTGATTTTAAAGGACTTTTCCTCCCTGCATAGAGTGTCTTATTTAGAAGACCATTTAATTCACTCTTTAATCAAAGAGGGAAGACACCAGACTATTTGCCTGACATCTGTGGCTGTCCAGGAAACCAAGTCGTGCGTGAGGGACATCTGCGTCGATGTGGCTGGTCCACCACAATGCCACTTAGTAAACCAGCCACCCTGGGGAAAAGCTGACAAGGGTGCAGATTGGGCTTTCAGGAGCATCTTGGTTTTGTCTGTTTGGATTATATATTGTCATGCTGCCTGGCTATCTGGAGGTTTGTGTGCCTACAGAGAAGGAGTCTCTGGTCTTTGCAGGCCTTACTTGTGCTGTTCTAATAACAGTGGTTAGAAACCAGGACAGGTCAAACTGGTTTGAGCATACAGGTCTCAGAAGATTGTCTTCTAGCTGCATTAGCAACATCATGAGACTAGATGCTACTGTGCATCCAGTGCTGCTTGTGAGTAAGCTGGTTCCAAAAAAGTAATTGAGAACTTAAGGATAAAAAAATTATGTTCTAAAATCCATTATTATTATAACTAAAGCTCCTCTTAAACAGGGAGAATAGCAACAGGCTTATTGATTATCCTCTAGCTCAGGCAAATTCTGCTTTCTGGTGATCCATGGCCCATCATGCAGTCAATTCTGAATTTAAATATCTTGCAGCTTTATAGCCCCTGGAGGCTGTGTCACTATTGAAGGGGAGGAAAAGGAAGGAAAACATAAGTTTTCCTGTTTGCATAAAGGAAAGACTCTGGTACTGGTGAGGTTTAAAGCACCATGTGTTGTTACCTGGTCAGACAGAGAAAAGGAAAGAAAAGACAAAAATGGGGAGCAACATGCCAGCTGAAATTCTCACATCTGAACTTTACAGTCTACAACATGACTAGTATAGAGGAAAATTTGTGATCAGGATGAAGCAGATGTTCCAAAAAAATGCAGTGGAAAAAGCCTCAGTGAATACCCAATATAACCCAGTTTTTCATCAAGATTGATGAGCTAGTAGGGCCACCATGCAGCACAGACTGTTTGCTTTATTATACCCAGGTGTAGGCCAGTATGTAGAGGCTCCTTAATATCACTGCAGCACACTTCAGCATCTTCCTTTCTAATTTAATCTGCCTCCTGTGCTCTCCCTTATGGTGCAACACTTCTGAGTGAGGCATCTGTGTGCCAGTGGCAGAGCTGGTACCAAGGACAGGTTCCTCTTTTGGACTGATGTCACTGACTCATTTTTGCTCTGTGGAAGGGCAAAAACATTGCATGTTTTTAGATGAACTAGGTCAGGCAGAGAGGGACACAACCTGATGGATGCCGTCTGAAGTTTGCCACCCCTTTCCCTGCCCCTGGGCTATTCAGTCTGGTAGGGATCTAACCTTTGCAATGACTAGAGCAGCACCAAAAAACAGCTGGAGCAGAGCAGGGAAGAGGTCTGCTTCTTCCCTGGAAGTGTGGGAGTTTGGCAGAACACAGCTAGAGAGCACAGTATGAGCTAAAAGATCCCTCCCTCATCCAAAGCAGGCCCCCTTCACCGAAGGGGAAGCATCAGAAAGGTGAATTAAAAGCCAACAGACAGGGTGCTGTTCCTGTGAATTCTGCCAAGTCTGTCAAAGAGAAATTGTTCCTTGCAGCAAGGATGGAAGCAAGGTCATTCATAAAAGAGTAATTGATGTTTGCCTGGTGACAGCCCTCCACAGGGCTGATGTGGCTGTCTCTTCCAAAGGGAGCAGGCAGCAGCCTGTGGCTGGCTCCGAGGAGCTCCAAGGGTCTGGGAGATGGTGAACCAGCCTCAACCCTTCCGCATTTTGTATGCAAACGCACGTTGCCTTTTTTTCCCTCTCCAAATGTCTTCTAATGTAATTAGAAAGTTGCTATTCCAAAAGCCTTTTGGCTGGAAAGGGAAAAAGGGCTATAACTCATTTATAAGATGTTCTTGGAGCCATGTAATTGCTGTGCACCAGCTGGATGGATGGGGAGCTTCCCAAGGGGCTGCATCTTGGTATTCCCAGAGAAACCAGACAGAAATAAAGAGAGAGCTGATGCTGAAGGACTGAGATGTGGGGTGGAGCTGAGGAAGGGAAGATGAGAAAGAGTACTTTTATCTGCTGGGGGTTCTGGCCCCAGAGAGATGTTGTAAGTGCTGGAGCTGGTAGGGAAGGAAGGGAGGGCACAGGGGAAGGAACCTGGGCTGTCACTGGCATCCTATTGCTCATGCTCTCTGGGTTCATGGTGGGTCACCTGAATTAAAATTTAATGGAATGATATGCAGAAGAGTGGTCACATCAGTGCTGTTTTTTCCATCTGACTAATTTTATTTTTTTCAGATTTTCTTGTCTTTGAACTTGATTTTTGGTGAAAATGCTGTTTGTTTGGTGGGGAAGTTGTTGGAGGCAGTGCAAAATTCAGGGTCTGGTCCTACTGAAGAGCCTCCTGACATGTCTGTGTAACCTCACCTCTTCCCTTCAATTTGTGCTGTACCTGCAGGGTTGAACCACCCCCACTCCAGCTGGGTTTTGGTCTGAGATATCTTGCCCTGTGCACTCTTCCACATCTTCATGACATGTAACCACCTTGTCATGTCAGTGTTTGATCAGACTTTTCCTCTCATCTTCTTTAGGATCTTGGATAATCTCATTTTAGCTCCTAGCAAGGCAAACGAGTGATCTCATCAGCTATATGGACAGGCAGCTGCCAAAAAAATAAATGAAAGGAGAGACTGGAGATACATAATTTAAGATTTTTCATAAGAGCTGTACCAGGGTTTTCCCCAGTGTCTGATGCAGATCCTGAAACAAGACAGCCCAAAAAAAGTGGTGAATACCAGTGGCAGTCTTGTTCCAGGAGCAAAGTCCCCAGGCAGGGCAGAGAAACAGAGCAGATGGACAAGAGCCAGCAAAAGGATTTTACTGGCACATTCACTTTCATTTCCAGGATTCGAAGTAACACATTTTCATTTCTTGCTGCTTATGCATGAGTTTGGAGCTTTTTGTTTTAATTATATCTTCTAAGCAATTTATTTTTTTGAAGCAGAACTGGTAGAAGCAATGTTCTTCTTCCTCTCTTAAGCTTGAATTTGGTAAAATTTCATAAAAGTTTAAACTTTTCCAAGTTATTTAAACTCTATTATACAATGAAAACAGTCATAGAAAAAAAATAGAAATAAAAATAAGGTGCAGTCAGCTGGGTAAGTTTCCCACATAATGTTGTGTTAAAGAGGCACAGTTTAATGGAAAAACTTGTAAGGGCATTAATTTTCAACCGATGCTTATTCATCACCTTTTGTCATTCCAAGGCTAAGCTGTGGATTCATATTGGATGAGTCCATTTAGCCTTCAAAGGCTTCACAGGCACTTTTCCTTTCCTTTTTTTCTTCTAAATGTGAACAAGATCATTTGGTCCAGCTGTCACAGCAGGCGAGTGCTTTTTATATCAGGGTGTGGGATTTTTCATCCAGATTTGTTCAAATAAAAACACAAAGCATGTAACTTCCAGCTCTGCAAGCCTAAGGAAGAAGACAAAAGTCAAACCATGTCCTGCATCATTGCTGTTATTGTTGAGACACTTCAGGGTCAGTTTCTGGCCTTGATTATATTTCTGTCATCCTGTTGTCTAACTAGGATGGTGCTGATCTAAGGAAAGCAGCTTGGCTGTGCAGCTGCCACCTTGCTCACAGAGTAAGTCCATCTCTTCTTCCAAAGCAGGTTGTTTTCTATCTCTGTCCCAGTTATTTCTTTCTTTGTGGGATATTTGTGTGGGTTTCCCCCTCTCTGAAGCCAGTAGCCAAGTTTTAAATGCAGGGGATTGAATCCCATTATTATGGAGCACAGTCCTGCAGCAGAAGGGAAGCATACTGTAAATACTATGTTTTATACCTCCTTTTCCTTGTCCAAGAGGAATTTGGGCAGAATAGATTAACTGCTCTGCAGGAAGCTGCCTGTTTTTTTTGGTCAAACTCCTCAATTGGCCACAGTGTAATTAGAGGGCTCCTCATGGATAACCACATTATTGTCCATCTAATTTCTTTTAAGTAACTGACCTTATGAGGGATATTAAAAGAAGGTGATATTTAAACTTTAATGAAACTTGCTCAAACAAGCATATTAAATATGCTTGTGTTTGCAAATGGGTATTTTTCTCCCCAGGCTGTAACTGTTGGTATTTTTTCTCTTTATCCTCAGGGATTTTTCTGTTTTGCTCTGGCATTTTGTGGATTGATCCCAGCTGCCTGCTGGAGATACACACACAGCACAGAGGTAAGTGTTGGCTGCTAGGAAATACCACCAGCATCTAGTCAGAGATTTTTTCATAGCAACTATTCCTCCCATAAAAGGGACATCTGGTGTTAATTAAGCCATCCATATTGAGGTCTATCAGATCCATGCTCTGTTGCATCTGTCCCTTGAAAGAACAGGGTCACCTTCATCAGATACCTCTTCAATGGGATCATCTGAAGGGAGAAGCCCATGGAAAACCTTATGCAGGGTAAATGCTCTGTGCTGAAGGCAAAACAAAATGCAAGTCTCCTTAGCTTTGGGATTTTTTTTTTTTGTCAGGGGATGTTTGTTTTGTTTTGTTTTGTTTTGTTTTGTTTTGTTTTGTTTTGTTTTGTTTTATTTTAAATGAGATGTTTGACTTTTGAAAAGTCATTTCCAGCTGGTTCTAATTCCTGCTAACGTCAATTGGGAGCCTCTATTTTAAGGCAGTGGCCAGGAGAAGCACCCAGGTGATGTGTTTATTAACATGCAGCAGTGGTACATTAAAAAAAAGAGTGAAAAATGGTGTTTTGGGTCACTATGAAGCTGGACCAGAACGAGAAGATTCTAGGAGGCTGCATTTGTAAGAAAATTGGAATTTGAATTTTTAACGCAGAGCTTGCTGGTGCTGGGGTAGATGGATGATGTGGGAGATGCAAGGTGGTGGGTAAATTGGTCTTTATTCCACTTTTTGCATCCCTGCACTCAAAAAATACAAAATTTAGGTGACTTGGGAGTGTAAAAAAATCATGACAATTTTCTTTTGAAAGCAGAACACTGGTATTTTTGGCAAGGACCTAAATAATTCAGAGAAGTGCCTGGGGCTTTGATAGATGTTTCATGCAGTGGCTCAGTCCTTGTCTCTACTTTGCTCCTCCCCAGCCCTGGGCACGTGCCATAACCTTCAATGTTCTGGGCACCAACGAGGATGTAACATGAAACATCATCCCAGCGAATTAGGGATTGATACTGCCAGCTCATCTTTTTATGGTTAAACATACTGGGAGTGATCAAAGACTAGTCTAAAGTGTCAGAAGGGTGGCCTAGAGATTTTATTCTGTGATGGAGGAGCACAACTCCATCAAAATCCCAGAGACTCAGTTCATACTAGCACTGTGGCAATTGCATTTGCAGGCACAAGGAGCCCTGTGTGTCCTGTGCATGAATTAAAACCCAGTCTTTCTGAAGGCAAAAGTCAAGGTTAAGGTGAGGGATAAGGTCCTGCTTCTCTAGAAAGCTTTCCCAGAGCTGGCCAGTGCCCAAAGTAGTTGAAAATCCTTTGAAATGTGCACGTGGCTACACCAGGCTAAAGTTGTTGGCCAAGGAGACTTTTGGCTGACCTGCTGTTAGCCAAGGTAGCAGCATAAAATCCCAGGAAGCAAAAAGCAATGCTTTTTCAGATGCCAGCATCTTGTGACCCAGGTGTCTGCTGGTGGCAACTGCTGGTGCCTTTGCCTTTAATGTTCTCCCTGGGTTTTTCCTCTGTGAATTTGTCCAACTGCTTTGGAAACATTAGGGTCAGTGCTAATGGCACAACAGCATCTTTTAGCTGTATGCTTAACTGGCTGAAGTGAATTCAATCAGAGCTGAGACATCCATGAAAAAATGTCTTTCCACAGCCTCTTTAATTTTTTTCTTCTTATTGTTTCAGGCAAAACTATCAACATTTATTACAATCCTACTAACAGTTTAATATGGAAATAATTTGGTTTTCATGACCATCACGGAAGGGAGCACACTTTCCTTCTTCTTCTGCCGACATTAAATTGTAGATTGAAGCAGAGGCCATGTCAGGAGAAATAGCACCAGAAACTGTCTGGTTGGCATTGTGAAATTGTGTTTTCTAAATAGACTATTTAGCTTTACTGTTAATCCACATACATGGTGTAGGGCATAAAAAAACTGCAAGAAAAATGGGTTATGAACCAGGGATATGCCATGCAAAAAATATTTTGCTGAAAATATTTAAAGAAGTATTACTTTGTATATCTCTTAATCAGTACATCTGTTTTTATTTCAAATTATTTGCATGGGATTTTTTGTTCTGAGTGCCCTGCCCACAAATGCACCCATGGTTATTTGGTTGGGTTTCAGTAAGCAAAACAGCTTCCACTAGACAAAATTAGGGGATTTTGTATAATGTTGACTTTCTGGGCAAACAAAACCAGCAGTGTTTCTGACAACAGAAAAAAATAACCTTAGACACCATCTTGTGTTTCTCTGCTTCCTAAAATCCAAGGAAAAGCAGGGAATATAAATGAGGAAGATTTAATTAGAAGTGTCACTTACAGAACATGTGTAAATTTAGTTTAGACCGAAAAGTAACCTGTCTCACTAGAGAGAGAAATGCAGATATGAGAGAAAAATACAGGTGCCTGAAAGAAATGCAGTCCTGAAAGAAATGCCCCTCCAAGACAGGAGCACAGTGATACAGAAAATTGAATGACATAGGGATAAAACTTCTGAAGTCTCATTATAGAGGTGTTTGTTTGCTTGTCTTTGTCAAAAGAATGAACCAAATTCAAGCAGGCGTCCTGTGCTGCCTATTGCATGTCAGTACTCTCAAAAATAGTTAATTGTGGTAATCTAGGGGGGAGAAAAATCAAACCTAGCCAAGTGGGTGGGTGCCTTGTAAGCCTGATGGGTACACAGCTATCAAAAAAGGAACAGAACTGAGGATGTAAAACTGAATATGGATGAGTATGGCCATTACACGTGCCTGAATCATTAAGAGCACTGAGAGGTACTGCCCCCATGTTCATAGCCAGAACAAAAATTTCAATTTTTTCCCATGAAAAATACATTAGTTTTCCAGTGGAATGCTAGACAGAAAATGAGGCTGTTCATTTTGGAAATGCCAGCTGGGAGCTGGTGTCAGTAGTTCCTGTCCTCTGCCTCCCTGCTGGCAAGGTGCCGAACACAGGCAGCACTGAAAACAGAATCTTCCTTTCCCTTTGTAAGCTGGGGATGGGAGGTCTCCCCTGCACTGATCCATGGCAGATGCTTCAGTGGTTTCGTCCTGTTGGTAAAAAAAAGATTAAACAAAAAAATCTACATTTTCTTCAAATAGCAGAATCCTCTCACAGAAAATCATCTGAAACAGTACACCCCAATACTCAGTTGAAAAATTGTTTTCATGGTTATTATCAAGAGACAATAGGTGGAAATGTAGTTTGAATATGATGAAAACAAGATGCCCTTTTTGCCTGTGTTACTCTTTTAGGGCCTTTTTTACAGCACTTCCTACAAAGAAGCTGGGCAGGGAGAAAGGAAGAATTATTTGTAAATATTTTATATTCTCAGACCTGGGCACTGTAAACAAAATTAATCTTCCAATTTCCCATTCTATTCTGTTTTCATGACTTATTGTAGCTTCTGGATTAATTCTTTCAGACAGATCTCAAATGTTTTAATTTCAAGTTATCCACATTCCAGATGTACTCGAAATCACCATAGTCTGTTTTCTTCTGATATGTGCCAGACATGCAGCAGTCATGAACCCGAGATTTATCATGTTTTGTCCTAAAAGATTGCATCCCAATTGTTCCTCCTCTCAGTGGAAGATGTGGTCTTGGTAGGGAAGTGTTGCAAACCTGTCTGAGGAAGGACAGTAGTGTAATCAAACGAGAGACTGATGTGCATGGGAGGACAGAGGGGATGGGATGACCTCTATGCAAGGTCTTTGCTGGAACTGCTGTGGTAACCACAGAAATCATGAGGTTTTCAGATGGTTTTCAGCCACATTAGGAAGTCCTGTCTCCTGAAGCTGAAGAGCTGAGTCTTGTTTTCCAAAATTATTTTTGTGGCAGCTCCTTTCCCACAAACTGCTGTCTGTTTAAGTGAGGTCCCTCTGTCATTCACAGCATGGCCACAGCAGGGATGTGGAATGCAGAGATGGATGTAGGAGAGACATGTGACATCTAACACAGCTGGTGGGGAGGGCTGCTGCTTCCTCCTCCTGCTCCCCAGTTTCCTTTCTCTCCTCACCCATTAACTGCTGCTTTACAAACCTGTCTGCAGAGGCTGGAGCAAAGCTGTACTTGCAGCAGCCATAGAGAAGATTTGGTATCCTTACTAACCAACACAAAACCAGAATCATTAAGGTTGGAAAAGACTTTTAAGATCATTGAGTCCAAACTTTGACTGTCAACTAGACCAGAGCACTTAGTGCCATGTTCAGTTGTTTCTTGAACACTTCCAGGGATGGTGACTCTACCACCTCCCTGGGCAACCCATTCCAGTGCCTGACCACCTCTTCAGTGGTTCACTAGTTCTATTGCTCCTCTCTGAACAAGCTTCAGTACTTCAATGTCCTTCTTGCAGTGAGGGGCCCAGCACAGGGCACAGCCATCCAGGTGTGGCCCCAGCAGTACAGAGTGCAGAGGGACAATCACTGCCCTAGCCTTGCTGGCCACACTATTTTTGATACAAGCCAGGATGTCCTAGGCCTTCCTGGGCACAAACTGGCTCATTGTCAGCTCTTACCCAGCACCCCCAGGTCCTTTTCCACTGGGCCCCTTTCCAGGCACTGTTATCTAAGCCTGTAGTGCTGCATGAGGTTGTTGACCTCACTTGACCAAAGTACAGAGCCTGGCACTTGGCCTTGCTGAACCTGAGGTTTGGGGTTATGTTCTGGGCCCTGCTGTGAAAGAGACCAGAGGAGTTTCTATTCCACATCAACTTCTGCTATTCCATTTCTCTGCAGCAGCTTCTTCCAGTAACCCTGTGACCCTGTCCCCATAAACCAGGATGGTAGGTAGAGTCAGTGACGCTAAAATTGCTGCAATATAAAAGGAGGTTTGCAACACAATGAGCATTTTAATTACAGAAATTGATTCACAAGTAAAACCATAAAATGGATTAAATTACAATTTCCCAACTCAGGAATTTGAAACTGGTGCAAATAGTTGTCCATATTTCTGTAAAAGCTTGATTCCTCATGTCCTCTGAATGAAGAGGTTATTTGAATTTGCACTAGCTGCAGTGATATGGTAATCTCT